CCGATAATAACAATCGAACCAGACTGGCCAGTTAGCACAGATAAACCAGAACTACCATTACATACATATAGACCACATTTGCCAACTTCAACGAATAATCCACATTTACCAACTTCTACAAGTAATCCACACCACCCAACTTCTACAGATAATCCGCATTATCCAACTTCAACAGATAATTCACACAATCCAACTTCAACAGATAATTCACACCACCCAACTTCAACAGATAATTCACACCACCCAACTTCAACAGATAATTCACACCACCCAACTTCAACAGATAATTCACACCACGCAAGTTCTACAAAAAAACCGCATTTTATTGGATCATCAGAAAAACCTAATGACCTAATAACAATAGTCAAACAACATTTACCTTTTATATCAGATAAACAAGATCAGTCTAATACAAACTATAGTAATACCATTTCAGCATATGATCAGAATGCTGATTTAAATGTTGATTCTAGTTCAAATTCTGGATCAAATAAAAATACTGAAGATTCTCAAGTGGACATTGATAAGTTACCATTTACATCATATTTACCAAAAGAAAATCCATCAAAACTAGAACCATCTGAAGATTCATCAAAACTTGAACCATCTGAACATATCAAAAAACCTATTTGTGTACACATATTGGGCAGACCAGTATGTCTCAATTCTGATTCAAATGCACAAAACACCGAAGAGAATAAAGTGGATACCTCTGTAACTGGATCATCATCTTCTTCATCAATTCAAAATGATGAGACTACAAGCCATATTAATATTAATACGAATGTAAATAACAATAACAATGTTGTTACATTACCACAATCTTCTGTATCGAACAATGAAGCTGGCTCTTCAACAGTTACCCCATGTTTACATGGTCATATTTCAACTTCTAATGCAGATGCAGATGCAGATAATACAAGAAAATCTGACTCGCAATCAACTTCAAGACCAACGGAAGCATTTTCCGACAAAATATTTACGTCAGTACTTATTACTACCCCAAGAACTTATCGTCCAGGATGGAAAAATTTAATTCCAATTTCTGCAATCGATAAAGAGTCTTCCGTAGACGCAAACGAATCTGAATCTTTATCAAATGCCGGCTCACGAAATACGCTTGGAACACTAGATGGTATAAATTCTGAGAATGAGAATGTGAATTCAGGAGTTTACGGAAATCCAAGTAAAACAGTGAAGAAAGAACTTTCAACGATTGATGATGATCAATTATCTAATTCTGCTGCTGGCTTTTTACATTCGAACAACGATTATTCGGAATCTAATAATAATCAAATCTTGACAAATTCATTACTACCCTCCACTTTGTCGGACGAAATAAAACATGGTATTAACGCCGAAACCGATGGAATAAATGTTAACGATCAATCTGTAAATGGATCAACGAAATCTAGTAGTTCAGCAAACGTTGGTAAGGAGTCTTCTGTGTCTAAAGGGAATTCTAAGAGTAGTATCTTCTAAATAGCGTAAAGCAACAAATGCTTAATCCACATCTGAATATCTCAAACCAATCAATACTGCTTCTGTAGATGGTCTACAAGATGCTGATGCAGGGATAACAACGGTACGTATTGACACAAACACTGCTCTGGATTCGAACAATGACGGGGATATTAACACTAATCGAGCTATATTACCTACTACGAAATACGAAACGCTTGATATACTTAACGCTAAAGAAAAACAGATTGGTGATCCCTTAACTGCAAGCAGAGAAGATAATTATGATGGGGTTATCGACAAACGTAATCTTTATTCTAAATTTACAACAGAAAGTAAGCAGTTTTAAAAGCGCATTTATGTATAATTATCGATTTAGTATGATATAGGAATGTTAATTGATCTCAAAAAAAAAAAAAATAAATAAAAAAACTATATGAACTTTAGTATGTATAATAAATTAATTTTTATGTTCCAATTTATGACATTCTTTTTTGTAGGTTCAAGTATAGATGACGGTACAACAGAAAAAATTCCCATTACAAATAGCGTAACTAATATAGAAACAACAAGCATATCCAAAACTTCTAATATAACTCCTCCTATAACTCCTTCAACTGCAACAATTATTAGATATTCAAACAACGGGACAATTATTAAGACAATTGATATGAACGATACTAATCAAATAATGGAACTTCTTCAAGAGATATACCGTCATTTGGGAACTAATTAAATAATATCCATTTTGTAGTAATTTATTAGGTGAAAACGTTATAATTTTATTAGTGCGTCTTGTCAGGATAATTGACATTGTTTAAAAAATAATGAATCAATAGAGTACGAATTGTTATGAGCATCATCGACATATATACATAACCTTAACGTATATATATATATATATATAGTTCATATATTACTACATATTATAGAAAAGGATTTACTTAAGTATAATAGAAAAATAATGAAACTTTACATAGGTATAATATTGATGTTTATTTTATCTCGTTCTTTGATTAAAAAATATATTTATATCAGAATATGTGTGGGTTTATCTATTAATTATATTTTCTTTTTAACAACTTAAGAGATGATTATTTAATCAATTTTTTTTAATCAAGATTAATTATGCATGAATAATCTTATCACCATATTATTGATAACAAATGTTAAAGTGTAAGTCATACCAATGATTAAATATTTACAATTTATAGACATAATAAAAATAAATACAAAACAAATAAATGATAATAAATAAGTTGTTGCTACGTTAATTAATTGCGCAGATTTCCAAGATAACTAATTGTACATTAATAATAATTGTTTTTAAATGAACGAAGTTATACGAAAAAGTATTGAATGGTTATAAATTAACTACGGATAGTTAAGCATTTGAAATATGTTGAAATACGTAAACAACATGTGCAAAATATGAAGATATCATAGAACAATTTGCTATACTATATCAAGGTATGTAAAAGTTGATGAAATACAATATTTTATAAGCATATTTGAAACGTGCAACAATAATGACATTTTTATTACCCGGAACTTCAATAATTAATAACAGATATAACGATATGAGAAACGATATACACTGACATGTGTGAAAATAAAATATACCTGAAGCATATGAAATATGTAAAATCAATGGTATATATTTGAAACCCTTTTTTTTTTCTTAAGGTTTCGCAATTTAGTCATCAATTTTTACTAACTTTAAGTGGAACGAGAGTCGTAGTGAAGTTAACGGTACGTGCAAACCTGCCGGTTTTCTGGCGCCATGCTGAAATACATTAACATAGTGATATCAAATCTTTTAGCATTGTATCCTGTTATTTTTGTGATAAATTTATCATTATCGAATCATTAAATCTACAAATTTGAAATATTCTACCATCATTGTCATTAACTTTTGTTAATTATTTAAAAATATTCGTATATAAAAATGAAAATAAAATATATTTTCAATATTGTTTAAGTCAGATAAGATATAAAAAAAACTAGGTAACCCCTGATGAAACAAAATTTAGAATAAACAAACGTACATTTTAATGAACGCCGATCGAGGTAAGTGACCATAGCACGTGTTAGGCTAACTATAGTCTACCTCAGTATTTCTTTCTCTTTCTATCTTCATTCTGTTAGTACTCATCTAGCGAATGTTAGTCATCAGCAATTCAACGATTAGACTATACATTGCGTGTTCCATAATCCGTCGCGATATATCGCACAGTATGCTTTAGATCGAAGCACACGTATTAAGCTTCTTCAGTTGGTGCGAGGAAGTCAGTAGTGTCAAGTGGATTGTATTATCATCTATGTATTTATACGATAAGTAATATACAGTATAATGATAAGCCGCAAATTGTTATGTGAGTCCAGCAAAATATTTCAGTGTCACTTCGTATTGCTTTTAACTTGATAAAAAAATAAAAAAAAACAAACAAATAATAGATTATACTGTGTAGAAGAAAGAAAGAAAGAAAGAAAAATATATATATGTTTAGAAGATCATATTGCGATTGTATGCTGAACTTTAGACATAAACAATTAGAGATACTACTTGTTTGGCCGGTTTCAGTCGAGTATCGTCATTAAAACGAACCGGATCCCAGTGATCTCGTCGTTCTCTTAGCAACTTGGAAGAAGAACAAAAAGGGCCGTCGTCCAATTGAATGTACATCAACGAGTTCAACATGTGGAAGGTGTTAGCGTTATTTGCAGCGATCGTTTGCAATACGCTCGGGGAATTGTATCAATTCGAACGAAATGTTTGTATTTGATATAAACAAAAAAAAAACAAAAAAAAAGAAAAATAAACTCCGATAAATTTCTGACGAACGCGTTATTTTAATAATATTAAGAATAATGTTCAATTGCAGGATTTGCAGTCAAAATACAGCTTCGAAGTGGATTACACGAATGATCAATTTTTACTCGATGGTAAACCATTCCGTTATGTTTCCGGCAGTTTTCATTATTTTCGTGCACCTAAAGTATATTGGCGGGATCGTTTGAGAAAATTGAGAGCAGCTGGTTTTAACGCCGTTTCGACGTAAGAATTAACGAGATATTATATTAACAAGTAGACTACGTATAAATATAAATATATATTTTTTCTTTTGTACAGGTACGTTGAGTGGAGTCTACATCAACCTGAATTTGATGTTTGGAATTGGAGTGGCGATGCAGATCTAATCGAATTTTTAAACATCGCGCAAGAAGAGAACCTTTTAGTTTTATTAAGACCCGGACCTTACATTTGCGCGGAAAGAGACTTTGTACGTTGAATTATTTTTACATTTATTCTAAATCATTCATTTTTGTTCTGTTTTTTTCTTTTTTAGGGTGGTTTTCCATATTGGTTATTAACACGTGAACCAAATATAAAATTACGTACCAATGATATAAGTAAGTAGTTTTTGTTCGTATGTATACTATAGAATTTGTTTTAATTTTCTTTTCTTTTCGTCTTTAGGTTACTTAAGTTACGTGGAAATGTATTTGACTACTGTGTTAAATAAAGTTAAACCTTATCTAAGAGGAAATGGTGGACCTATCATTATGGTCCAAGTAAGTTACTTCGTATAATATTTTTAAGATAATGATATTCATCCGATCCTTTTATGTTTTAGGTGGAAAATGAATATGGAAGTTATGAAGCTTGTGATGCGATATACATGAACAAATTATATGAAATTTTTCAAAGGATAATTGGAAATAAAGCTGTCTTGTATACGACGGATGGAATAATTGATAGAATGATTCGTTGTGGATCAGTACCTGGTACATACACCACAATTGATTTTGGTACTGGTTCTAATGTAAATGCTAGTTTCGAACTTATGAGACGTTATCAAGCTAAAGTAAATATTCTTACAATCGTTAATTGTCAATAACAATTAGATAATTAGTTTACTGATCGAATTAATCGTTTTAGGGGCCATTGGTAAACTCTGAATTTTATCCTGGATGGTTGACTCATTGGGAAGAACCATTTCAAAAAGTCTCGGCTAACGCTGTTAAAAATAAATTAGACGAAATGTTGGCGATTGGTGCTTCAGTTAACATATACATGTTTTACGGTGGCACGAATTTTGGATTTACTTCAGGTTAATATATAATTATCATTTGTTTCTACTCTTATTTTCATTTATATAATATTATTTAATAATTTAGGAGCTAATGGCGATACCAAAATGTTTAGTCCGCAATTAACTTCCTACGACTATGATGCACCATTGACCGAGGCTGGTGATCTAACAGACAAATATTTTCAAATAAGAAATGTTATATCGAAGGTAGAATATTTTGTACAAACGAATAATCAATTATGATATTTAATACTTGTCATATTTGAATTATTTTTTTTCTAGTATCTTCCGTTGCCAAATATATCCGTACCTGCGATATCACCTAAAGGTGATTATGGTCCAGTATTATTAGAACCTGTACTTGAATTATTTGAACTATCATCGAGAGAATTGTTTGGTTCTCCTGTATTACAATCATCCGAGGCAAAGACTTTTGAACAATTAGGATTACCACATTGGTTAGTCTTGTACGAAACTAACATACCATCCAATGTTCAAGACCCAATGGTATTAAATGCAATAACAAAAGACAGAGCATTGGTATACGTAGATGATCAACTCGCTGGAACTTTAAGTCGTACCAAGAATATCAATTCTTTATCTTTAACGAGTCCATATTCCCAACGTTTGAAAATACTCGTAGAAAATCAAGGACATCTGAATTATGGCAATCAAATTCATGATTTCAAGGTATTTAACAATTTAAATCGCTGGATATATATCATATGAATATTATTATCGTAATTTTTATTATGCACAGGGTATTTTTAACGTTAGCATCAGTGGAATTCCCCTATCATTGTGGAATATAACAGGATTTCGGCTGAACAATTTAAATGGATTAAATAGTTTTAAAACTAAAACAATTGAAAGTGGTATCCTTCGAAAGGGACCGGTGATTTTGCGTTCTTATTTCCAAATAACTGGCCTACCATTGGACACTTATTTAGACACCACAGGTTGGGGTAAAGGTGTAGCATACGTAAACGGTTATAACCTTGGTAGATATTGGCCTCTGGCTGGTCCACAAATGACCCTTTATGTACCTGCACCATTTTTAAATTCCGGTCGAAACGTATTAGAAGTATTAGAATTAGAATATCTACCTAATACGAGAAAAATGAGATTTCAGAATGTACCCAATTTAGGTTCCACATATACACACGATGAAAATAATTAATCGCGGATAAAATTGAAAATTTGTTAAATAAAATAAATGAATAAACATTTTTTTTGTCCCATATTTTATATACCACTGTGTAAAGCTTTTAATACCAATAGGAATTAACGTGGCGTATCGATGTCAATAAAAAAATATTGTACCACTAAATCAAATAGATATAGTCGTCTAAAAAGGGAAAGTTCCTTTGTTCAAGTCCCATTGGTCCGATTTAGCCCTGCAATTCAATTTGTTTTCAAAATCCTACAATACAATGATACTACCTCTTCTTTTATTTAACTTTCCTTCCAATGTTTTCAAGAAACTGGCTTCAGGTATTGGCCATTGGCTGGCTAATAACATTTTCTTCCCTTCAAAATGGCCATCAAAATCTATTCGCTACGCTTTTTATAAATTCAAGGACATTGAAGAATACCTTAGCATGCTTAAAATGAATAAAAGTCTAAGTTTCCAAATGTTCGATGTTAAATTATAGAAGGGGACGGTCGCTATCCTTAAACACGTGTTAGTAATAAAGAAATGTTTAATTTCTCTCAGGTATATTTTTTCTTTTAATTTCTTCGAATTTCTAATAACAAAAGTTGATATACAAAGAAATTCTTTTATTAAGAAATGACAACGTTCGAAAGAATAAGTTTCCTATTTTAAAAGAGAAAAATGCTGGTTTATGCTTTGAACGTTGGTGAAATCGATCGACAATGATAGTGCTGTAATATACATAGATAGCACGTACCTGGCACATTGCTGTTTGTAGGACGATGAAGGAGCATTTTATAAAGATCCGAAGGAGACTTCAATAGCGTTAATATCCTTCGGTGGGTGACAAACGAGGGAAGGGCACCGCGGGACATCCGGTGTCCTGATGCTATACGACGAATTATCTCACTTCCGGTTGAATATTTGTGAAAAATTACCGATATCGTGACGACGCATTACTTCTTCCTTCATCAATAAAAAAAAAAAAAGAAAAGAAAAAAACTTCCATTTCGGAGATTAATTAAGGGCTATGCGATCTTTTCTCAGCCCATCATTCTATGGATCATTTCATATTATGTCTATATATATATAAATATTGAAACATCAAACTGTGTGTAACAATATTATAAAGCTTCACAGCGTGATATGTATTTATGGTTTGTACGCGCATGTGTGTGTGTGTGTGTGTTTTTATATATAAGACAAAAGTATAAAAGACATATTTATTGTTAATCCCCAAAAGAATATATTTCGAAAGGTTGTATCTCTGTAAATTATGTCCCGAAAGTCATATTCGAAAATCAATCCCCAACGGTATATATTCAATTAACATTTCTAAAATTCTAAGGATCAACCAAATAAAAGAAAAAGTAACAATGATTTGAAATTTTCTATGGGCCAAAATAAATGTTTAGAAATCGAAATTCCTTTTAAATTTCTTTTAATACCGAAGAGTGGGGGGAGAGAAAGAAGAAACGAAGAAGGGCAGTATTTAAGGGCTGGAAACAGTAGACATCAGAACTTATTAACGAAAACACAGTCCAGCAAGCCAGTTTGTAGCAAGCCAAGATTGTGCTTGCCAGTAATCCGAAGTGTCGCGATCATCGTCATTTTTGTTTTTATTATTTTAAATAATCGACAATGTTTAATAATTAACAGTGAAAATGTGCTAAGTGACGGAATATAAATGAAAGAAGATATTTTTATTTTGTTTTAATCTTATTTCTTGTAATTTTCATATAACCAGCAAGATATACGATTTAAATCCATAACGGATTCAAAAGTACGATAACCCCAATGACTTTTGCTTTTTGCTTGTACAATCTGCATATAAAATGTGTGATAGCCGTTGATACCCTCCGATATACAATACTTTTCGACATTTATTTTCGATATAGTATTTAAAATATCGATAGACTTATTTTAAGGGGGGATTCCGAACTGCAGGCTGCATTTTTAAGGTATTTTTTTTTTACTAATTTTTCGTGCCAAATTATTAAGATTTATCTATATCATGAGAGATATTTCTATTTATTAGATTGACTATCTATCGAAGTTCATACAACTACATATCTTAAGTACCCTTCAAAATTTTTCTTTCACTATTTTTCTTTTTTAAACTAAGCCTTTTATAGTAATAATTAAAATGTTATGTACATTCAACAGGTCTGTTTATTTGAAAGAAAGAGTACAAAGAGATTTTTAAAATATATAATATATACTTAAAAATAATATAATATATTATATCGATGATTATCTCGTTTAATCTAAAATAAACGAAATTAGAACAATTTGATAAGAAATAAATAATAATCATATTTAACATAATTTATGTTAAAAAGAACTGAAAGAAAAAAGGTTAATGGAACGGAGACAAAATTAAATGGGAAATTTAAAATGTTGTAAATGTTTCTTGACGTATAAGATTTTTTAAACGATCCCTCGAAGTGTATCATTTGTCATTGGTAAGTCTATTTTTCCGTATATACAGAGGGTTGATAGCGATACCACTCATTACGTGGCATTTCAAGATATTATATAGACGATCTTACGGTACATTATCAAAAGTTATATCAAACTCCGCCCTCCGGAAGACGCCGCCTCCGACATGCGCCGAGGTATCGTCGCCCCTATCCTATTTCTCACCTATAATCACGCTCGTAATTTTCAGGGTAGTAACATTTAGTCTTCCTCGAGGTATTACAAATCTATCAGTAGTTACATACTCTGTTGTTTAACTCTTGTGAAATATAATATTACAAAACATTTTTTTAAATCTACGTTCAAAATTTATTTGAAAATAGATCTTTCGTAAGTAAATAATTGTGATATTTGATAAGCGCAAACTTTTCTTTTTTTTTATATGTATATTTCTATTTCATACGATATTAATTTTAGGCAATTGAACCAGAAGGAAAAGTAAAATGTACTTTAATACCAGGAGACGNTATATATATATATATATCATTTTTTAACTTTTCTATTATTTTTCGTATTTTCATTTAGTTCAACGAATACTTTGTCCACACATCATTTGGAACACAATGCAGAAAGCGCCATTAGATTTGAGTAGTAGCGGGAGGTACAAAGAAATGAATGCTAATATTTCAAAACTACGACGCTCTTATCCTTGCCAATATTGTAACAAATATTTCGATAGACCCTCTCTGCTTACAAGACATTTGCGAACGCATACAGGTTGGAATTTACGCAAAGAAAACATAAGATTTATCTTTCACTTTTTGCCATATCATTGTGTTGATTGATTTTTTGTTTATATTGTTAGGTGAAAAACCGCATAGTTGTTCGAAATGCGGTAAAACATTTAGTACCAGTAGTTCTTTAAAAACACACGAAAGAATACATACCGGTGAACGTCCCCATAAGTGTCAGTATTGCGGAAAACGCTTCACGGCCTCGTCAAATCTTTACTATCATCGGATGACTCATTTTAAGGTAATTAAATTCACATAATATTACAATTTTTTTAGAATTTATTAAGTTTAGAAATTAATTCGGTCAAATTATTTGTAACTACAATTAATAAACACAAAATGTGGCAAGATTTATATATTTGTTTTTAAAAAATATATCGAATTCATTTCAACGAATAATAAATTTAAATGTCATTCAACTTGTTCACGATTCAGTCACGTTAGATTATTAGTTCTCGATACTATTTAAACTAAAGTCAAACCACGTGGGCTTAGTTAGTTAAATGGATAGGAGACCCGTTCGGAAAAAATAAAAACCGTGTGCTGTTAACTCCAGAGAGGCGGTAAAATAGACCCGACCTCTTTGGTAGTATTGAATAAGTGCGAGAAGGTGTTCGTAAAGAAATGATAATACGAACTCGTAAGATGAAAAACAGCAAAATGACAAGAAAAAAAAATATATCACTCAATTTTTTAAGTATATGATATATTTTCTTGAATATTTGATCAATGCAATTTAATTATCACGTTATTAATAATGAAATAGGATAAGCCACATAAGTGTACAGAATGCGACCGTTCATTTTCAACCCCCGGCGATCTCCGAGCACACGGATATTCTCATAGCGGAAATTGGCCTTTTAGATGTTCCATATGCAATCGAGTATTTCCTAAAAAAGGAACTTTTAACAATCACATGAGTATCCATGGAGGTAATTTTATTTGTTATAATTATACAAATAAACAAAACATATATATGAGATCTAATATCTTTTTGTTTGACGTTTTTTTTAGGTGAACGTCCCTATAAGTGTCCCGTATGTAACAAGAGATTTTCTATTATTGGAAATTTACGATCTCATCAAAGAACTCGTTGCTCGCAACTTCCTTTAACTAATTTAACAGTTTCCGGAAACGTTGAACCATCGATTATTCCGGAAAACGGTAATGCGAGATTTGAATATTTCAATCTAAATCCATTTGAATTATATTCTTCTTTTCATTGGGCTTTATGGTCATCATTGCAATATTGAAATATGAATTGTAATTTTAAAGTATACGTACGCAAACACACATACACACATGCAAACAACTTACAGTACCATGAATTTGTTTAGGATAATAATGAATCTAGGAGATTTAGGAAAAAATGCATTTATTGATTTAGTTATCCAGCTATACATATTTTTATTAACACGTAAATTTTGCTTTGTTTGGATTGAATTTTAATTGATAATTATTTCTATGCGAAATAAAATAATATGAGATAAAAAAAATCGTCTACTTCTCTCAACAAAAATAAATGTTTAAATACATAAAATATTCAATTATTGCGGTGTATGCTTGCTGATAAACAGCAACTAAGTTTGGTAGCACCATGAATATTCATTTAAAAATAAAAAAAACACTTTTAGCAAGCGCTAACATCACTTTTTTTTGCAGTTACTTTTTCTTCAATTCATGTCTATGTCATCAGTCATAAATTCTACTTGCATTTCTGTTTCAGATTCGGCTAGACATTTTTCATCTACGGCAAATTCTTTTGGATTTTGATCAACATCCATTTTATCATCCATTTTATTATCCATTTTATCAGACCGTTCAGATTCTCCTTTTCCAATTTCTTTTCCTTGAGTATTTTTATTATTACTATTGTTTACTTCTGATTCACCATCAATAGTTTTATTACTTTCTACAAGCGCGTCATGAGCTGCTGATTGTGCAGCCTGTATTTGTGGTGACGTATCGTGTTTTAATATTTCGCGTAATGCCATTGTGGCATAAGTACTTGCACTTAAACTCATTTCTACTATTAACGCTTTAAATTCTCCCTCTACAAATGGCCATATTGATAATGGATCGAAAAAATCACGTTAAAAATAAATATTATTTTACTTACCAGGATCATCTTTTGGAGGAGTAACATTTCTCATTTCGTCTATGTCACTAGAAATAAGATTATCATGCTTAGCTTTATAGTGCATTATTTTCCAAGACAAGTCCTTTGGGATTTGTAATATTTTTCTATAAGCCCCACCTAAACTGTATTTCCTATAAAAGTAAAAAAAGGAAATAATAATATAGTTTACGTAATAATGATATAGTAGTTTCACGTGAAATGTTAAACTTACTTGTTATTTTGTCTTAAATCAGTAGTCAATCCATCTTTTGCTAAAACTTCATCAAACCAAGGCTTGGCATACGGAGGATAAGTCACTTTCCAACCTGGCTGTGGCATTATTATATCATCTAATGTATAATTTGGCAAGTCTTCTTCAGTAAGAATTTTCACAGAAGGAATATGACAAAAGTCTTCTTGCTCTTCTTTATTTTCAACAGTACTACTTTCGTCAGATTTCTCTTCTATCTTAAGGCTAATTTCCGTAGCATTTGTAACTTCTTTAATATCATTGTTAGACTCTTTGCCATCGTTTTCAATATCTTCTTCATATGTCTCAGATACCATTTCATCTTGATCTTCTTTCGTAGAATTGTTGGTTTCGTCATTATCTAACATAGCATCTTCACTATTATCTTGAGACAATTGTTCGGAATGTTCCTCCGAACATTTGTCTTCCATCTTATTTTGATATACCAAGTCACCAACGATAGGACGTGTACCAAATTCTTTGATTCTTTTAGATACTATTTGATTCCATATGAAACTTTGATAAGCATGAATATACATTAAACGAATATTTCGTGGTAACAAATCTAATGCACCTTGAGGATTTTTATCTGTACATATTGCTAAACCCTTTAAAAGTGTTGCTTCAATTTTGTCAGATCTTTGAATTTTATTATACGCTGCATGTGCATCTTTAGTCGTTTCGTATATTTTCCTACCTTCTGCCAAGCCTTGATCTTTTTCACCTTCTCGGGGTTTTAAAATTAAATCTATTGCTTCGTTCCATTTACCCTGTAGCAATTTCTTTCCTATTTCGTGCGTTGGAATGGCAGCAACTGTGCCGAATCTTTGAAGACCATAATAATTAATAAAGCCACGATCGCGTAACGATATCATAGCCTTTTCAATTTCTTCATTTGATGCAATAACATTTCGTATCGCAATTTTAAAGCGATTACCTCTCAACATACCTAACTTGAGTGGTACTTTTTCAAATTTAAAATTTCCTACATAAGCACCACGTATCACATATCCTGCGCGTAATATTTTTTTAGGTGGTGTCTTTTTCAAGCTAACCCATTGAGTAGTCCATGCTCTACGGTCTTTAGTTCCAGCGTAACTAAAATTATTTGGTCTAGTGCGTAGTATCATGGCCATTTGATTTAAAGCATCCATAGTATCCATATTTACCTTATGCAATGAAAAGTAACAATAATCTCCTCCGTGTTTCTTCCAATTAATTCTATCATCAAGACGGAATCTATGATCTGATAAAATAAAAACAAGTAAAAGTATTTTATAGAAAATGGTTAGAAAATTTTTTACTTCTATTTAAAACAAGTGATTTTACCATTTTTACTTTTATTTCCTTTATTAGTTTTCATCATTATCATGAGCTTTTTATCATTTTGATCAATAGTCTGGCTCGTAACATTTGCCAGTCTTTTAGCAATTTCATGAATAGTTCTTCTTACATCTTTATGTACATTGGTAACATCAATTTCAATAGTGGAACTAGATGATTCTTCTTCCTTTAATGCTTGTAATTGTTCCCATATGTTATCAGGAACACATTTCTTTAAATCATCTAAAGTTTCAGTTTCCTCTGGCTCACTAGGAATATTCTGATTAGTTAATTTAACAACTTCACCATCAAGAGATATTTCATTGACATGGAAATCGCTGTATCTTTCTTTAACTAGACCAGGAAAACCAAGATGATCTCCTATAAACTCTGTCACACCGATGTCAGGTTCTTTGAGACGGTTTCCAACTTCGAGCCTTTTTCTCTTTCCATCTCCTTGCGGTGGAGTCCAATTTCGTTTGTATGGTTTTCTACTATAACTTTTATCATTTGAACCTGTACAAAGTAGACATGATTTATTTAATTTTGGCCTGTTTAATATAACAATATTTATAATATTTATTATTTATATTATTTAATGTATGATAAAAATGAAATTTTATAATTATAAAACTTACTACTTCCTCCATATGATTCAGAACGATTAGATCTATTATTTGATCCTCGTGAATTATAAAATTCATTTCGTCGATCGCTATGCTTAAAAAATCCATCACGATTCTTACTACCGGAACCACGTCCACGATTGCGAGAAAATCTTTCATTAGTTTTTCCTGGGTCATTATTGTCTGTACTTGTATCTGCCATTGTATATATCTCTTAATAAATAGCAAATTTTAATTTATCTATATAGTAAATTTTGTAATATTACATAATATAATGCACTTTTAATATAATATACGGACACCTGCCTATTACTTTATTAACGGTTATTAGCAGCGCATGGTACTACATGCTATTATACAAATAGTGTAGTCACAAAGTCTAGAGTTCCGTAGTGTAGTATATATTTGAACATCTGCCTACAAGAATGTTTCGTTAAGTGACCATTTTCGAACAGCGCTTGTGAAGTTCAAGGCGCTGCATATGCAACAGAATTATTAAGCGCCAAATTTCAAATGTTCCATTCTATTATTTTCTTTTATAATTCAAACCAGTTTTATTTAATATTTATATAAGTAATTAAGATAATACAATTATATATATATATTGATTTCATTAAAATCTTGTTACATTGAATTCATGAAGAAATGTTCGTCAAACTGTACGGTTAATTTACTGAAAAGTTAGATTATAAAAAAATGATCTTTTAATACAAGTACAATGGGAAAATTTATTTATAGGTACACTTTTATGGTACAATTTTTGAATCATCATTGAAGCAATTTAACAATGACGCACACCTAAAGGAATGCATATTAAGGCCACAATGAATAATAAATTCCGTGATAAGACACTTCATCGTTGTGTTCCAAGATTACTTGGAAAAGTATTCAATTTTAACCACTTTGGTCCCAAGCGTTTAATATTTGCATAGGAGGGTTTAATATATAAAAAAATATAATAAATTACAATGAAATCTTTTTGAAGTCTTTTAGATCACAAGATGGTACACGTTTTCGACTGAAAACAATTACAGAATTTAATTCATTAGACATTTTCATTTAATAATATATTATCTATTAAGAAACTATGAAAATAATATAACATGTACCTTTGATTTTGGATTCGTAGCTCCGCTAGATTTTGTGCCATTCTCTATCTCTTGTTGTTTCTTACCTTTAAATAACTTTGCCATTTTTCCTAAAAATATCATTTAAAATAATCATACAATTTTGATATTAAAAAAACTCGTAAGGATAATAAAATATAAATTAAAATATCACAAACCAGTTCTAGGCGCTGGTGATTGTATCACATCAGCATCATCGTGTATGTGTTGTTCATCATTTTTTTCATTCTTTATAATCTTCTCCGTCGCCTTTATTTCGTCCAAAACATTTTTAGCATCTGATATTATAGTTTCTTCAATATCGGTATTCGATTTCATCGACCGAGATTTGTGACTGTTGACAGACACTTTTGCAGGACTTTCTTCTTCTTTTTCTGTTTCTTCTTTTTTTGTTTCTTCTGTCATAGATTTTATTACTGACTCCTCGGATTCCTTGGTTTCGTTTATTTTTGAATTGTTTTCTTGGCTATCTTCTTTTTTTTCCTCATTCTCCGAAGACTTATTTGATAATTCGGTAGTTTCACCAGCAGAACCTTGAGGACTCCCTACTTTTTGTCGAGGTGGTTTCGGCGGTGGCGTAGGGTCAGGAGATGCTGGTTTTTCTGGACTGGTTTTCGTTTCATCTTCGATTTTAGGTTCTTCTGTTTTTGCCGTTTCATCTGTCTTCTTTTCTTCCACATTACTTGGTTCTGCATCTGTCGTCGTTGATTCACTTGGTTTTTCAATATCAACATTACTCGTATTATTGGTATTCGTTGTTTCTTCTTCGTTATTATTTTCTATGTCCTTTTTTTCATTCGTATCTTCAGTCTTTTCTTCTTCCATGATTTTTGGTGTCTCTTCCGGTTCCTCGTTCGTTGCAGGTATTTCAGGTTTTTCGAT